CTTAAGTGGCTGGAGGTGGTCACGGGTTCTGGATGTAAGGGTGCGTGTGCTTAGACAGCATTTTTTTCTTGAAGGCTTTGACTAAAGTGAAATCACACACACATTTGTTATACCTTTTAAGAAACTAGAATTCTTAGATTTTAAATGCCTTTGTGTAGATTAAATACATAAGCAGGTTAATGGGTCTTTGCCGCTTTTGTTTACAAAAATGCTCTCCCTAATCAACATCATTGATATCTTGCTGGGATCTCAGACTTGCCTTCTAACTCTCAGCCTCCAAGACCTCAGTGGGAAATAAGAGAATAAAAATCCAAGGTGAAGGGAGGCTCGCTAGAATTTTGTGATGGAGTAAAAAGCTGGGGAGTTAAAACTGTGCGGACAGGTTGGGTGTGCTGCACACGCCTTTAATCCCAGCCCGCGGGAGACAGAGACAAGCTGGTCTCTAGGAGATGGAGGCCTTCCTGACTTATACGGCGAGTTACAGGTCAGCTGGGGCTACAGAAGGTTAATGGGTCAACAAAACAAAACAAAACAAAACAAAACAAAACAAAACCCCCAGTGATCCCAGGTTGATCCCAAGCACTTGATCTGGGAGAAAGGGAATTAGCTTGACAAGCCAGATTTGGTCAGAACAGATTTGCTTGGATGTCACCTTGTGTTTCTTCTGCTGTGCCCGGTCCTTAGGAGCTCCAGCATTGCTGCTGGGTGCCTGGGTATACTGGACTTCTGACAAACCATCTAAGCATTCAGCCTCAGCTTCCCCATTTATTAAAGGATTAAATCCAGCGCTATGGTCCTCAGGTATTTGTGGGGTCATAGCGACAGCAACACTAGAGTCTGCTCTCAGTTATGGACCTATAAACAGGAAGACCTTCCTTCTGGAAATATATGCAGCTCTGTCCATCTCCAGATGGGGCCAGGAGCAGACTCAGTAGAGACAGTCAGGGTGAATTGTGCATGTAGATCACTTAGAAAAAGAAGGAACAGGCAGGTGAAGTATCAGTGTTGTCAGGTTTGGAAAGTGTTCAGTGACCCTTGACTGTGCACCACGTGCTGCAGTGTAGTGACACAGGCACCACAGTCCCACCCGCCTGAGCCTGTACAGTCCAGACTGGCCCAGGGTCGGGTCTTAACAGTGGACTATGGAGAGATTCTGACTGGGCCTTGCTGGTACCCATCTGTGCTTTTTATCTTGTGTCTTAGAGTCATTAACATACAGAGAGATATGTACTTTAACCCTGATTTAGGCACAGGACACTGATTACAAGTGTCTTAGGGACAGATGCTCATCGGTTAGACTCTGTCTCCTACTTCCTGGTCATGAGGCCTTGGGCACAAGTGCTTCAACTCGGCAGGCCTTGGTCTGCTCCCTGTACAATGGGCATGAAGGTGAGTCTGGTGAGGCCTTCACGAATAGTACAGAGCACGAAATGAGCTTCTGCACTGAAAACATACAGTACAGTAACGACTCCTATAATGATGTCAATTACAAGCTACCACCTTCTGGAGCAGAGGCGGGAGGAATCAAATAGAAAGAACTCTGAGAAGCTTCTAGCATGAGCCTCTTTGATCTGAGGAAAGTTGAGAGGTCCTAGCCAAGGGTCGATGACATTTTTGGGAAGCAGATTACTCTTGGGAAAGCCCATCCCCATTTGTGTACAGGGACACAGACAGAAGGAAAGGGCCTTCCGTCCTGGATGAGGGCCCCAAGACAGGAGTCTCCTCCTTCCCTACATCCGTGCCTTGAGGGCCCAGCAAGGCATCTGGGCATTGACTCTTCTGAGTCATTTACTGGCCTGTGGAAGGGCTGAGCAGAGGTGGGGGAGTTACTGGAGATTCCTCTGACAAGTATTGCAGATGTTCCAAGGAAAGCAACTATGCCTTTTCAGCCACTGCTGGGAACTAATCTTATGAGGCAATTTCTCATCAGGTAGAAGAGTGTTCTGTACTGCTAGGTCCCATCCAGTTAGCAGTCATTCACCAGGTCCCTTCTCCTGATGAACTACTAGTCTGTAGTAAGAGCCAATCACAAGTAGAGTATGGTGGTATACAACTATAGTCTCAGAGGCCAAGAGAGGAGGGAGGAAAACTTGAGGCTAGTCTGAGCTAAATAGAGAGACTCTTCCTCAAAAGAAAAGAAAAGAAAACAAAACAAAACAAAAAGCTACCAATAGGAAAAAAATGGCTATAGGGCACCACCTCTCACACAGGTAAACACAGTGAGAATATGTTTTGAATGATGGATTGGCAGGTGTTCCCACATCTGTACAGGAGGTGTTCCCACATCTGTACAGGAAGGACAGGGCATTCCATGTGTGCTTTGTGAGCAGGGTTTTGTGTCATGTCTTAGCAACAGAGGCATGGAGGGGCCACATTCATACAAGCACACACTGTACACACCATACACACATAGCCCTCACCCCCCCATTGTAAGATAATGCCAGACTGGGGGTGTCTGTGATGACCAGGAAACCATATGAGAAATTTTGAAAATACTCTGGCTGGGTAGTGTCTGTTTATTTATGTCCTATTTACTCTGGATTAGTGGTAATATCCGTCTCCAAAACTACCTGTGTAGGTCTGAGTGGGCCAGCAGTGCCTGTGGAGTGTTATGAAGGTGGTTACAGGGGAGGAAACAGAGTACAGAGACCTATTGTGCAGTGATACCCTGGGTCGGTGAGAAGTGCCCACAGAGGAGGCTTTGGGGCCTGAGATAGCCATCTCTCAGGAGCTGCCTCATCCTTGTCCCTGAAGGTGGCATGCTGCGAGTCCTTGGAGACAATTCTGCCCAGATTCTGGGCACTCCATACTATCTCTCTGTAGGGACCACCTCAGTGCCCCACCCCTGGGTTTCTGAAAAGTGCCAGCCTGCGGTTTCAGGTCTCATTTCTTCTTTAGCAGCAGTGTTCCTACAGTGGGGCCTAGACTTTCCAACAGAGGACTTCAACAAAAGGAGGCTTAAGGAATTTGCAAATCTTATGTACTGGAGACAGGCCAGGAGGCCAGCGAGGCCAGAAGAAACCTGAGATTCGCCTGAGAGCACCAGAGTCCCTCTCTAGCTTCCCACTGGCTCCAGCACTCTGGAGAGCCCAGGGGAGATTCTTTGAAAGCCTGGCTTTTAGAAGGCAACTGTAGCCTATTTTTAGCCTGGCTCTTATATGAAAACCAAGCAGGAGATCCATCTCCAGCATTATCAGCATCTTCTTCACAGAGATGAAGGTTGTGGTTAAGAAGGCCAAGATGTGTGTCCATGTGTGTGGGAGGGGGTTGCAAAGTCTCCCGTGGGTTGAGATAAATTGGACTATTACACTAATCCATTAGAGAATCGATATGTGCATCTGAAACAGCTTCCTGGCAGGAGACAGGAGCAGGTGGCAGCTCTGGGTAGTGTGGCTGGGTTCCAGTTATGGGACTCCGGGTAACTCAAAGGGCACAATTTATGTATTTGGAACCCAAAGTGTAGAGGGAACACAGTAGACTTGGGGCAGCACTGGTAGACAAAAGCTCCACTCTAGTCATAGTAACATGTGTAGGGTTACCTTCTTCTCCCCAGGACGAGCTATTAGGGGCCTTTGTGGTCCTTTCTTACACATGGGCCGCACTGTAGATCTGAAGGAAGCTGGAACAGACACTTCCATCAGCCTATCCGCTCAGGCCTCAGAAGATCAATTTTTCTGCCTAGGGATATAGGGAAGACGCTGACCAGTGCCCCTGGGAAAATTTCATAGCCAAAGCTCTGGGCTAGCTGCTATACTGACCTCTGGTGTGACCTTGGGCAAGGTCATGACTCCAATCTGAGTTCATTTGCTCCATCTTATACCAGAATGGCTGGAATCTGCCCTTTCCTGCTCTGACTAATAGCTCTGGTGCCAGAAGGTCCCACTAGCTGGTTCACCACAAGTCCAGCATAGTGTCTGAGGAATGACCCGGATCCTCGCCGATTCTGGGGCATGTTATAAGTACTACTTCCAAGACCCTTTGTCCACAGCGCTACATCATTGTGCTCAGTTACTGCATCTGCCAAGACCCCTAGCCAGAAGATCCATCACACAGGTCAGGAAGCTCAGCTTCAAGGATCTATGGGGCTGGACCAAGGTTGTACCTGCAGTCATGCATCACAGGGCTGGGGCTCACTCAGATCAGACTGCTTTGGTCTGAGCTGGCAAGGCCTTTCGATTGGGTAAAACTCTTGAGAAAGTTTTTTTTTTTCCCCCAGATGTAAAGAAGGTCTTTAATGTGCATCCCTTCCTCGTCTCCAAGGAACATACTGCTCATTAGCTCCTCAGCACACATGATGGCCCCAGCAAAGGTCAGGGTCATGGTCAGAAGCCAATTCTGGCTAGCCTTCTGAAATCCCAGTCTGATAAGCATCGCTGTGACCAGCTTGGTGAGGGACAGAAGCCAGCTCAGGCAATCTCTTGTCCCCAAAGCCCACCCCATGCTCCTCATAGTGAGGGGGCTGGTTTTCTACAGTGCATTTTGTTAGTAGGGTCTGAGGTGGGCCTAGGAAGTCTGACATTTACAAGCCCAGCATGTCCCCTGAGGACAGAGCTGCCCCTTGACTGAGATTCTCTCCATGGGCGAAACAAGTTGAGCTTAGTTGACCATTTTCATGACTACACAGTGGTACAATAATTCCCACTTTGTTCAGCCCTCTGCATCTTCACCGTCAGCCCCTTCTTCAACCCGATATCCTCACAACCCTCTGGGGGCTGGCAGCGGGCAGGCTCCTTAGCTCCATGATGGATATGCTGAGGGTTTCCAAGGTCACATGCAGAGTGGGTTGCCAGGCCCAAGGCTCACTTCCCTCCATCTGCCTATGGCTGACCCTGCACCCGCCACTTTCCTGCAGTGCAGTCTTTCTGAAGGCCTTGAAAGAGAAATCAAAGGCCAGATGTGGCCACACGTGTCCACCATCTCTTGGCTATACTCATTCCTCTAGCGGCCCCGCCTAACTGTGCTCCTGAGCAGGAGGCTGCAGACAAGAGACAGGGTCTTACCTGCAGCAGTGGTGATGCCCAAGAGACGGCACGTATATTCCAGCCCAGTCCAGAACACCTGGAGCTTCATGGTGCCAGGGCTGTGGGCCGAGTCCCCAAGGGGAAAGGAGCAGAGGTCCCTCCGGATGTGAGATGCTCTGGATGCCCCTGCACAAGGAGGCTGCAGAGGGTGGCCCCTGAGCCCTGGGGCTCTGTGTTCCTGATCCAGTCCTGGCCACCAGAGCCCAGTTGAGGTGTGAACAGGGCTCACCTTCCCAGCTCAGTAACCCATGTCCTTGCCAAGTGCTCAGCTTAATCATTACCTTGGAAGAATTCTCCTGCTGCTCCGTGCACAGCCCCAGCCTGGGCTGGAGCTGCTTCAGCCCGGTACAGCCAGCTGCCTGAGATTAGGGCTGGGCCGGAGGCAGCTTGGAGCTGGCAATTAACTGTTTCTGGCTGGGAAGAGGAAACAGGGGAGTAAGTGCCCCAGTCCTTCCTTATCAGGTAGTGCCAAGAAAAGTCACACCTACACCTCACCGGCTCACTGGGGTCCTGGAGGGGACTGTACACATGCAGATCTGAGGAAGAAAGGAGAGAGAGGTAGAGACAGAGATGGAGATGGAGATAGAGAATGAATGTTCCTTTAAATCACCAATAGGAACAACTTTTGAAATGAGTTGCAAGTTTCTTTCTTCTGTGTATAGGTGGATTGGAAAACTTCTCTGGTCTGATAGATGTGGGCTTCAACAAGAACTGCTTAGCTCAGGCCCATGCCATGCAGAGACCCTCTCCAATCCCTGACATGCTTTCCGGATATGGGATGTGGGAAATCATGATACTCACTACGTCAATAATTAACCGACCTTAGGGAAACCAGAGGGTCTCTGAGCCTTAGTAACTCTGGCAGAACACAAAGATAAAATACAGCTGTACCGGTGTTCTCAGCACAAGGAGAGCGTCCTCAGAGGCTGACAGAGGAGCCTCGCCAGCCTCTAAGACTGGCCTTCAGTGAGCTTTCACTGGTTTCTGCTTCACTAATCGATCTGGTGGATTGAAGAATAAGCTTTAGTTTTCTTGCCAGGTGTTTTCGGAAATCTGTTTCTCTTCTGCTTGTGGGATAAAACAAACAGGTGGGGGAAACAACCCATCCTAACGACATCAGAAGCCCCAGCTGCGGGCTTGTATCGGTTGCTGCTGATCTGATGAATGAACATTTTTCACTATTTAAAATATTTCAGTTTGATCAATTAATTTGATATTCCATAACATCTATCTTTTTAAAAAAGAAATTCTCTGCTCTCCTTTGTAAGAATTTCTGTACTCATACAAAGTTTAGAAATATATCATTTAGTGCTTACCATGTTTGGGACCCTAGATTCCATCCCTAGTACCCCTCCCATACAGAGAGAGAAGAGAAAGAGAGAGAGAGAGAGAGAGAGAGAGAGAGAGAGAGAGAGAGAACCTGGAGTGTTCCTGTTACTGCTTAAGTGACATTTCTTTGAGGGTGGGCCCAGAGAGAACAGCTCCCCTCCATTGCTTGGGGACATTTATTTGCTTGCTTTTCAGAAGCCAAATTAAATTTTGTAGATTCAGGGAATGGCTGTGGGAAGTAAGCAGTGGTCTGTAAGTGTCTCATGAGACCTGGCGCGCCACAGA